TTTTTTTTTTTTTTTTGGTAGAAAAGGAGATAGCATAGATAATTAACTAAATACAGTAGTCCTAGGAGTCATAATCCCAATAATATCCGAATACAAAAGATTACAAAGACCGGAGGGACATTGATTTAGCACAACAAAAGGAGAGTCCGACTTTGTACCCTTCTTAGCCAACCAGTCAGCAACACTGTTGGCTTCTCTGAACACATGTCTAAACTGGATGCTGGGGACTTGGGACATCATAGCCTTGCAATCATCAATTAAAACCCCCAGTGAGTGAGAATCAGAATGGGAAAAATCAATCAGTGTTTTTGCAACCATAAAATCAGTTTCAACAATGAGTTGGGAAAATCCCTTGTCCATGGCCAGTTTAAGGCCGTCTCTTAAAGCCCATAGCTCAGCCGAAAGGCTGGATGCATATCCAATATTCCTGTAGAATCCTAACAGCCAGTTACCAAGTTCATCTCTGAAAATTTCTCCAGCACCAGCATTTCCTGGGTTTGTCACAGCTGAACCATCAGTGTTCAACTTCACAATGCCAGGAGGGGGAGGGTTCCAACCAACAAAGATAGTAGAAATAGTTTTAGCACTTAACGAAATTGGATGAAGCTGCTTATACTCATTGATTTTTAACAAGATGAAATCCCTTGCCATAACCAACGAGACATTCTTTTTTTCATGAACCAGAAGATTTCAAAAATACCAAAGGGACCAAATGATGTATGAGAAGGAAGTACTCCATCCCCCACAACCAAAAACTTTTTATTGATTAGAATGAGCAAAGAGCCAGCCATCAAAATCAAGATCGTGAAAAAGATTGTTAATAGGATGAGGAGTAAGAAGAGACCACAACAATTTAGCAAAGTAACACTCTCTAAAGATATGATTGAGAGTTTCAAGAGCCTGGTGACATCTGGGACAATTATTAGACTCCATAATGCCCCAATTGAAAAGAGTGTCATAAGTAAGCAATCTGCCATGCTTTAAAAGCCATATAAAAATTTGAATTCTAGGAATGGTATCCATATCCCAAATCTAGGACCAAGAGCACTTGCTGTCAAAAGGGAGGTTCTTAGCAAGATAATATGCAGTTTTAGATTTAAAAAGACCGTTGCTAGAGTACCCCCAAATAAAAGTATCAATTCCAGCATCAGTGACATTAAAAGGAATGGCCCTTAGCCTATTAACAATATCAGTAAGGAGTGAATATGAGATCAAATCACAGTTCCATTCCCCGGAGGAAAGAAAAGCATCTCTAATAGTAATATCAGGGGCATTAACTTGGTGTGGCCCATAAATCACAAAACTAAGGGGATCTTTACCCACCCATGTATCATACCAAAAAGAGATTTTATTGCCCATACGAGGAATCCATTTAATACCCTTATCAATGATGTGTTTCCCCTTTTTTATATTTTTAATCACTGGGGAGGCATTGTCCAAATTGCTACTAGGCTCAATAATATTAAATTTGTCCCAAAAGGCCTTAGCCCAAATGTTATCTTTTTTTGTAAGCATACGCCAATGGACTTTGGCCATAGCTACTTGATTTGCTTCCTTAGAGGAACGAATACCAAGCCCACCAAATTTCTTAGGTTGTGTGATTTTATCCCAGGACACAAGATTTGCTCTTCTTTTTTGGGGGGTGGAACCCTAAAGGAACTATTGAGATAACTTGTCCAACTTTGCATGAGTTGCTGCTGGGAGGAACATACCTTGCATATAATAATTAGGAATGGATGACAGAACTGAAGAAACAAGAGTAGTCCTACCAACAAGGGACAACATACTAGCTTTCTAGCCAGTGAGTTTTTGCTACACCTTATCCACAATAAACTGGCAATCTGATTTAGAGATCCTTTTGGGAGTGATGGGGACACCAAGATATTTTCCCAAATGATCCATTTCAGCAATGGACAGAATGGAAAAAATAGCATTCTTGACAGCTTCAAGGTCTTGACAGAAAAAAAGAATTTTTGATTTATCAAGATTAACTTGCTCTCCCGACCGGGAGCAGAAAGAGAAGAGTACCTCCTTGAGAAAGGTAGCATTGGTTATAGTAGCTTTACCAATAAACACTAGGTCATCTACAAAAAATAGGTGGGAAAGGCAGGGACCTTTCCTACTCGGTTTGGTCCCATTCCAGTTACCAAAAGTAATACCACCTTGCAGCTTAAGAGATAAATATTCAACACAAAGGATAAATAGATAAGGGGAAAGAGGGTCCCCTTGTCTAAGACCCCTAGAAGGTTGAAAATGTTCACCAATTCTCCCATTCACAATGACAGCAAATTCTGACGAAGAAATACAAGACATAATCAACTTAATTAGAGGTGGAGGAAAATTAAAGAAACTAAGGGCTTCTTGGATAAAACCCCACTCTAATTTATCATAAGCATTGTCCAAATCAAATTTCACAATCATATCTCCCACACACCCCTTCCTTTTAGAAAAGGAATGAACTAGCTCTCTCAAAATAAGAGCATTATCCATTCCACTTCTACTCGGGATGAAACTAGTTTAAAGGGGAGAAATAAGATTACCAATTTTCTTTTTAAGTCTCAAAACAATAATTTTGGTAACGATCTTATAAGCCACATTATACAGACCAATAGGACGAAATTGGGAGATCTTCTCCGGATTAGGGACCTTGAGAATTAGTGTGATAAGACTTTGACACCAAGTATGCGGCATAACCCCATTAATAAAAGCCAGTTGGATTTTAGAACAGAGTTTAGTTTTGAGAAGCTCCCAAAATTTATGAAAAAAAGCTACATGAAGCCCATCAGGACCTGGGGCTTTCCAAGCTTTCATAGATTTCACAGCTAACCAGATTTCTACATCTGATGGAGGAGCTACGAGAAGGTCCCATTCGGAGTAATCCACAATAGGCCCCCTTGTTATATCCCCAAACGAATTATGAAATGAATGATCTAGGGAGGAAGTATACATATCTTTAAAATAGGCGAGGACTATGTTATGAATTCCTTTAGGATCATAAGCCCAGGATCCTTGAAGGTCCTTAAGTCCCATAATTCTATTATAAGATCGACGTTCGATAGTAGAGACATGAAAGAACCTAGTGTTTTTGTCTCCATCTAGAATCCATTGAGTATGAGACTTAAGAAACCATAAATCCTCTTCATGTTTTAGGATGTACTGAAATTCCTGATTTAGTTCCTTCTCTAAATTCAAGAGAAAGGAACTGTTATTGAGTTGAAGAGCCTTTTGAATTGCCGTTAGCCGAGCCAAAATCTCTTTCTTTTTCTTGTGAATATTATCAAAAACAATTCTGCTCCACACCCAAACAGAATTTTTAAAATGTGCAGAGCACTCTGATATGGAAAGATTAGTGTGAACCCATTTTGAAGTAACTAACTCTTTAAAGGATTCATGATCTAACCAAAACTTTTCAAGACGAAACGATTTATCTCCTAAGGTTGGGACAGTAGGATAAAGTGAAATCATAATAGGGCAGTGCTCAGAGGAGAGTCTCGAGAGGTGAAAGATAATAGCTTCGGGAAACTTAATCCTCCAAGCTGGATTACCCCATGCTCTATCCAGTCTTTCCCAAATCAGTTGATTAGCATTTCTATTATTAACCAAAGTAAACTTAGGGCCATTAAATCCTAAATCCATGAGATTACAATAGGACATGCATTCTATGTAAGCTTGAATTCTATAATAAGGGAATGGGTTTCCCCCAAATTTCTCAGATTTAACTATAATGTCATTAAAATCACCAATGGCCATCGAAGGGCCATTGATGGTCTGAGAAAATTCTCTTAGGTTATCCCAGAGCAATCGTCTAATATTAAATTGAGGTCTAGCATAAACAGCAGATAAAAACCACTCAAACTCAGTAAGAAATTACCTTAACAAGAATGTGGATGACCTGGGAGCCTTTGTTAAGGGTCTCCACTAAAAATCGGGAATCATCCCAAAAGGGCCAAATCCCGCCAGCATAGCCTTAAGCATCTACTATCTCCCATTTTGGAAAACTGTGAAGCAACTGTCATGCTAATTAAACTATCAACTGCAAATTAATACACCAGCAGGAATATCAATAAGAGCTTGACTAAATTAATATTTATTTTTAAAATTTGAAGTTTAAAATCAAATTTAAAAATTTAAACTTTTGCAATATCAAGTAATTAACCATCCGATTTACAAAAAAATAAATTGCATGTAAGCATATCATTTCACGCTCCCGGTAAATGCTCAGCAGCCCTGAATTTAGCAAAACCGAAAGTCTCATCCTAGAACCTTATTGCTAAGCTTTCAAGGCTGCTAACTGAAAAGGCAATAACATTCACTGTTACCAGGAAAACAAGAGGAAATGATTGAAAATCACTCTCAATTTGCAAACACTCAATTCATGGATCGGTAATATGTCAATTCCCCGTTACACATGTTATGCCCTTGTCATGCATTCTTAGCACGTTACTCTGATTGGCAATGTAGTCTGCAAAATTAGAAGCAATACATATCATACAAGATCATAAACTTTCCCATCACAACCGAGCGCAAGAGAAGGCAAAATTGAAGACCTCGGCTTGTTTTTTTCTTTTCTCTTTTTATCCTCAAGTCTGTAATACATTGATCACTAAGAAGCCTTTTGCAGTAAACTCATCCAAATGGTTCTTCATAAGGTGCCATCAAAATGTTCCCCACAGCTGACTTAAAGTTGTGTTTAGAGAAAATGAACCTCAATGACTCTTACCTTCTTAAAGCGCCATAACTTTTTGTCACCTGAGAAGGAAGGGAAATAGTCAGGGTATCCCAACATGTAATATATAGCTTCAGGTTCAAGAAAAGAAAGAGACATCTGATATTGCCACAGGGATGCACAATTCAATAACAGTCAAGAACGGAATGTATGCAGTAAAACCACAAGTTGAATGACAGTAAAGTTATACACACAAACAAAAATGTAGGGCACCCTGATAACACAAGTATGAGAAGTACTATAAGTAACAGCTAACAGCATTTATAAGATAGCCTAAGTTAAGAAAGGAAGAGCACTTATTTTTGAGCTGGAAGCAGCACAATGGTAGGCAAAAGCTATACATATATACTTGACTAACTGTGGATTATACAAAAAAAAAGATAAACAAAAAAATAAATCTAAGAATATACAAACCCGTGGTTGGGACTTATTAAATCTCTTTGGAATGTCATCCTCATTGTCATCGTCATCATCCTTGTTCATAAGCATTCCTCGAAATGAAGAGCTCTCTGACTTCTTTCCACGCTTTGATGTAGACCCCCTGCCTTTTCCACTTGGAGCAGCTCTTTTTCGACTCCTGCCTTGAACAATTTCATCATTTTCCTTCAAAAGCATAACACATTTGATTCAGCAAACATTTTGAGGTTAGTCAGTTACCATATAAACATGTTACGTCAACAGAGAAAAACACAGTGGAAAATTGGAGGCAAGTTTGTGAGAAGAACAGCAATGGACCTACATTTTCTTTGATGAAACACTATTGAGCTATATTAGCATAAGCGAACCAATTTTTTGAAGAGATAGCAAACAAGTAGTGGATTACTGATCTCACAATCTTTGATTTGTTTGTGAACAGTGTACAGTAACTGACGCATTAGATGAATAGAACACCAGAAATGCCAGCATCAAACAAAACTGAAGCACTAATAAATTCCTGAAGATAAATTAATCGACTGAGATGGTAGTCCATACCAAACTGTCATTTACCTCATCTATATCATATTCTTCACCTGAAGCAGAGTCCAGATCCTCCTCTTCAGCAGTAACACTTTGAACAGCAGCTCTTGCAGCAACTGATGCAGATCTGCATTGAGCATATTACTCATGGAAATTAGCTAATGATAACAATGTGCAAACTATGAAAAAAAAAAATCTTCTGTAATAAAAAGATATCAAAAATATGTTTTCCAGTCCAGATGCACAAAAAAGTGCAGTCCAGGCTTTGAAATTATTAAGTAACCTTAAAGAATCTACTCTCCACGTTAATTCATAAAGGGTACCCTGCTCATTTTAGTGCCAGAACTGTTTGGATTGAAATACAGGGGACTTGAGATATTTAACTGCTAACATTAAACAGTTGACATTTGAACTCCGTCCATTTCACAGTATAGTAGCTAGACAGCGGGCTGCCCTTCGGTGACAATTAGATTACTGGAAATTCTATAAGCTTAAGTAGAAAACTGAAAAAAACAATGGATACTACTCTTTTACACTTATTTTAACAAATCTATCTAACATAGATCTTGATATTTTTCTCTTGAATTATATTTCATTCATTCCCTCAAGAAAGCAATTTAAGTAATAATGGAAAGTGAGATACTAATAGCATTAAGGGAATGTACAAAATATGATTTATCAATTTATCCAATTTATCAATGCCACTAAAGTAACAGAGTAAGATAAATTCAGTAAGTACCCTTTTATGCAATTTCATAAGTAACTTGGATAAATTTCATTGGGAGCATAAGAAGCATGTCACTTTCCAGTTATCAATTATATATTTTTCTCTCTTTTGCTGTGGTAGTTTAGGAGAGTCAAGTTTGAACTTATAACTTCTCTTTAGAAGAAATGCACTCCAATTGGCTATACCCATGCAGTAAATATCAGTCGAAGTGGCAAGACTCACCTTTGAGATTGACGAAACCCCAAAGCTGCATCAAGAGTTGTCTGTTTTAAGTTACCCGAACCTCTGCCAGAACCCCTTCCTCTTGCAGAAGTTTTACTTTTAGCTCGTTCTGGAGCACCACGAGATGACCGGGAAACTCCTGATGATCCTTTCCTGCCTCTAGTGGCAGAGCCAGTTGTCTGTGTTGTGTCTTCATCATCACTAAAGGCAACTGCACTTCCAATTCCTGTAGTACTTTTACTCCTGCTTTCCTACAAAATTCAAAACAAAAAGTTAGATGTTAATACCGATCAGAAAAGGAAATAAAAAGAACCATCACAGAAGAAAAGGGGGCATTGGAATCGCTCATATAGCCAGCAGTCAGCACAGATCAAAATAAAATTAGAATCACCTCAAAGAACTGTCCACCAGATGTAAACTGTAACGAATCCTTAGGGTGCAGAGACCTTTCCTTGACACGTTCCTGCAAATTAAAACAACCAAATAGATAAAGGTATCAAGGACATAAAACCTAGCATCAATTGTCAAACTGTTGAGCAGTATATTCTCCTTCAGTGCCCATCCACTGCTGAAGCAAGAACAAGTATTTTGAAAGCTTTTGTGCTTGCACATGCCCTTGGGTGGGCATGAGAGGAAGATGCAACACAGCCCATATGGTGAAGCTTTGGGGGAATAAAGATGGTAGCAATATATAAATTGCATTGAGAAAGTCTGCATGGCCCCAAGAGATTCCTAAAGAATGCAGGCCTTTAATCGCTTACACATGCCAATAGCATTTTTATCCACAAAGCATTAAAATAATAAAAGGCCTGTTGCCATAATAAAATCAAGTATAATGAACCCAAAATTCTTGCCTCAAAGCACTCTCCAACTTTAAGGATTAAATCTCCTTCTTGAAAGTTCAAAGCATCTGACTCCTTTGCAATTTTATTCTGCAGAAGCAAAAAAGATATCACACACAACAACATTAATTATCAAATTGCATATATGGCCAAAAAAAATGATCAACTTGCATAAGCTAGTGAATAGGCAAAGAGATTAGGTTCAGCAAGATTCAGTGAGGTTCAATGAAGACCTCACAGCAACATACAGAAGTAAATTAAAATCATCACAAACACGAAATTACTTGCGTGGGCAATACAACACACTTACGCGTGTTTCTTCAAGATTGTATTGCACACAGTTATGGAATGCATACTTGTCATCCTTATTGACAAAATTTTGTAATGCAACATCCAAATCGTTGACTGGGAGGATCTCCATTTTCTGCAAGAGAGGAATTAAATAAAGGCTAGAGCAAGATGGAAAACATTTATAAAACCATTTCAATGCCAGTTACTCAAGTTCCATTTTAACTTTAAATAGGAAAAAAAATAATCATGTATCCAACAAAACTGTCAGCTGGGGAAGCACTAAATCCATGCTCCTTAAAACTTCAAACCATGTACAACCGCATGTTGTGTATAAAACATGTATATTGGTTTTCATGTAACATACTACCATACTACCCATAATAAATGCCAGGCAGACAAGATCAAATAAGGAGCTAAGCAAGAAAATGGTTTCAGTACCAGATTGTTTTCAGCAACTAAAGCCTCTATGTTCTGTTGATTTAGTTCTTCTGGCCGGAGACGTTCTGAATCATCAATTTTAGCTACAGTCCAATGAGGAAACCAAAGTTATAGAAACAGCTTCTGTATATAAGGTTACACAAAAAATCTATACCAATAAACCAATAAAATAGAAGCAAAACAGAAAATTAGATTCTCTCAAACAGATGCACAAGTTTCTCTAGGCATTTGGCACCTCTGCGTCAATGTTATAACACTCTTCATATCAAATTAGAAGTTTATTGATGAGGATCAGAAACAAACCCATTTTATTTCTATATGGTCAATTTACTTCAGTCCAACTAAAATGAAATTACATGAGGAATTGGCTAAAGCCTTAGGCATGGTTCTGACCGAAATTTAACAGATAATCCAACACAGAAACAGGTGCATTGAGCTGAAAGAAATGTCATCATGCAGCATCATAATGTATTTGTTTTGTGGGCCTGTGTTTTTCACTTTTCTAAAGCTCTCAAAGTTACACAAAGAAGAATGTAAGCCAGACAAGTTTTTAATCACACAACAAGATCAAAACAAACTTTTGTAGCTTAGTAAAGGAAAGCACAATGCAAAGTAAGCGCATATTCGCAAACTCAGTAAGTATGATCAGAGTATTTAAAATGACACGGAAACAAAACTATATAAGTCAAGATCAATTAGATAACTAAAAGTGGGCATATGAACCTTCATTCCGAGTTCTTTTAGAAGCCTTAGAGAATATAAGAATGTCTTGGGGATTTGCAACCTGAATATTCAACGGAAATGATTAAGAACTTGAATGTGATAATAAGGAAAAATTACCAGTAATTCTTTAATGCAGGATGAGCATTAAATGTACCTTCCCAACATATTTTTGCCCAAATCTTTGAGGATTTATTGTCATGAATCCAGAGTAATCTACCTACCAAAACAACAGAGAAGTAAAATGGCCATACGCTGAGGATGCTAATAACGCATTGTTACAAAGAAATTTCCAGCATTGCAATCAATAGTGCATGAATATATAATCAGAATGTGAAAAAAGCATCACATGAAGTTTTGAAGGGAGTAGTCCAGCCCAGGACAAAGTTCTCAACACAAGTACACAAGAAGGAAGCAAGCTGTGATTTATAGTTATATATGCTGCACCATGATATGAATGGAGTACACTCAGAAAAAGGTTCAGATAGATATGAAGATTTTTTTTCTACACGTTCAAGCAATAAGAAAAGAAATGAGATGATGGAAAAGTTCCCAATTTACCAGCATGTTTGGAACATGAACTCATCAAAGCCCTGATAAGACGTGTAAAACAACACAAAAGTTTTCTAGTGGGATCACCAATACAACTCTATGTAAAGCTAAAAACTGAGAAAACAAAAAAAAAAGGGTTCCAGGTTTTATTCAATTAAGTAATCTCTGACGGGCTTCTATAATTACCATTACCTTAACTCGGACTAACGGAAGCATGAGCTCTGATCTATTAACAGTCTTCTTGTTGGACTTCTCTATTAGATCACCGACCTAAAGAAAGTTCAAGGTATTAAAATACAGTTGATATAAGAATTTAATAAGAACCACGAAACCAAGGATTTGAAGAACTCATAAAACACAATGTTTCTTAGCTAACAAGAGAGCAGGATACTTGCCACTGTATCCAAGTGTTCAAGAATTGAGTTCTGATCATTGGCATCAATCTCAGGTTCATCCTTCAACACAACCTGCATCAAGAACATTGAATTACGATACATACATTTTTCAACAGATGGATGAAAAAAAGAAAAAAGATGAATTTACCTTACCTCTTTATATTCGAAAGGCCTCACTGATGTCAAAGGTATCTTGGTTGGCCGGTATTGATTTCCCTATCCAAATGATGCATAAAAATCAAATACAGTATAAAATAAAGTAGGAGAACAAATACGACCTGTTGAAGACACAAATCTAAGTTTTCTCTAATAAATGAACCTTGACTTCTAAAAGAAGCACATGTTTTTGCTTTGACTCTCCCTCAATAAGTGATGTCGCAACTGAGGAACCTGGTTGAGTAATGTGAAATCCCATCCCTGATACTTCCTTTGAATTCAAAATTCACCACAAGTTCAGTCAGAAACTACTAATTCATTAATTTTAAGAAATCAGGAAATGTTCAACTTCCAGCACCTGAGGGTCAATAAGACATTCATGTTCATGTCCCCACACTATGAAATCCAGGAAGCGCGGTAAGAAGTGCTCATTTATAGCATTTTTAGGGTTTGTCTTCACTCTGCAAACCCATCAGGCAAAAATTTAAATTCAAGAATGAAAACTGAATCTACGTTAAATATCACATGATTTAGACTGAATAAAGATCTTTCTTTCCCACAATCTCTTTCTTTTTGGTCATGCATGAAATAGTTCAATCTCAGGGGAGTATTATGGACGAAACAGTCAACCTGTTCTGATGAAGTACCAGAATGTTGAACCAGTCTGACACTTGGAACCCCTCTTGAGCTTCAGGTCGCATCCACTGCACAGCATGTGGTGTCTATGAAATCAAAGATAAACAGTACAGAAAAGGTAAGTATCATTGAAGTGAGTAACTGATGTGCTGGAAAGAAAATGCTCCATAAAGAGTACCTGAAATATTCTGTTCAGCCTTTCATCCCTAATGTTTCCTAGACCATAAAGAGCCACAGCCGTTGAACCCTGCGATCCATAAAGTGGAATAAATCTTCTGCAGAGACAGAAATATCTCCAAAGGTCAACCAAACTATAACCATCCTACCTTCCTGATAAGAATAGGATAAAGAGTGATCTGACCAACGCCAGAACCCCCAAGAACCATTTTACCAAAATAGTTCACAAGATTGCAGGCTGAAAGGATATCAACTGCAGAAAGATTGTCCTGCAAACAATTTCAGAAGTTAGAATAGGATAGTTCCAGTACTTAAAACAACAAGGAGTAGTCCAAGAAGAATGATTAACATCAGTCCATCTATAATTACAATAAGAAATAAGGAAGGGAGACAAATTTAATTATTTAAGGGTTTGTAACAACTTGAAGACTACTTCCCTTCACTTACTCTGGTATTTAGTTTCTTTTACTTCTTTTTGTTCCATTCCCCCTATCATATCCTCAATGGGGAAACAGCCTAGTCCTTCACAGGAACTTAATTGCATAAAAAGTGTTTTTTTTTTTTTTTTTCACTAAGTTAATTCCAAATAAACTGGTATTCAGATTATGACCTAAATAAAACCAAGAAAGAGCTTATTGCCTCCATGATATATCAGTTTCTGTCATAGAGATCCAAGGTATACCAGCTGGTGTTAAAAAGTAAGAACTGACATTAATTGTGTTAACATAATGCAAATTGATAAAAAAAAGCATGTTAAAATAAATCTCTCACCACGCCAGCAGGATCATCATGGTTTCCATGAATACTGAAAACCGGCAAGCCAACATTGAAGTGAGGATCCTCATAATTCACATGACCAAATCTGCTATCATGAAATGTTGTTATGATACATAAGAATATTTTCCACAAGCTGTCTCTTAAGAAACAGGAGAGTAAGAGCAAGCACATTTTCATATTTTTACTATGTGGGTGATCACATTCACTTCTCCCTACATTTTAGTTATTTGAACCTTTTTCCCTAATTTAAAAGTTAACAAACACCTTATCCTACATTATTTCCAGCTTCTCAAGTACTCTTTCTTTATTTTGCCCAATTTTCAGCCACTGAACAAAAAATGTCCATTCCATCCAACCAAACATAGCAAAATATGCATTCAACAACACTTCACCTCAATAAAGAGAGAGAAAGATCCAACCATAAACAATATTAAATAACATCTGAAGATCTTTAATTGAACAAAGTAGTTCAGTCCTTACGAATTTGGAAAGTTTACAGTCTGGTCACTGACAACTTGGAACTGTATCGGTTGATCATTAAGGCAGTGACGACGAAGAATCTCAATGGCCTTAACTAATGTGGACCTTGAGGGCTTATTCTCATGGAAAAGATCTCCGCCAAGAAGCATAAAGTCCACCTAATACCACATAGAAATTAGTTCAACATGACATTTGAGGTCTGAACATTTTGTATGACTGTTTCTTTAGCTGAATCTTACCACACAAACTAGGACAGTAGGACAAGATTTCCATCCCTTCATTGTTTTGAATGTAATTTTTTAACTCAAACTCCAAAAATGCATAGAACTTATTGGTCTACATACTACAACATAGAAATGAATCTGTGTGCAAATGAAAATTTTCAAGTTTGCCTTGAGATACAATTAACAACACAAACATGTAAAAAAAACAGCATTGAGAATGGAGAAACAAAATGCTTAATAAGAAAACAGAACAAGAAGCAACTCTTGAAGGTGACAGCTACATGGAGAATTCTCAAATTAGTTAAGTATAAATGATGCAGATGGCTAGAAAAATAGAAGTCTGACAATAGAATTAAAGAAAAATAACATTGGAAATACTAAGAGCAGCAAAATGGCAGCACATCTGAAAGATTAGACTTTCCACATATGTAGCAGACAGGAAGGTACTATAGAAAAAATCACCTTCTTTTCCTCGGCTATAGAGCATATCTCCTCAAATGCCAGAAATGAATCATGCCGTCGAATTTCATCCTTCTCCAGATATCCCAGATGGCAATCTGTAGCAACAAGTATCCGAAGTGTATGGCTGGTATCCTCCCTGCAAGAAAATTAAATTATCCATAAAAAATAGCACATGGAGGCAACAAATCATATATATAATACCATAAACATCAAGGAAACCAAAACAATTCAAACAAGGCACTTGATGAAGCATATGTGTTATAACAAAATGGCCAAAGCATAACATACATGGTGAATTCTTAAGGACTAAGATTTCCCAAGCAAGCAAAGGAAAATTACCTCGCTGAGTCACTCATGCTGACAGCTTTGCTTTAACGCAAAACCTACAATGAGAAATGCACATTGCCATGTTCAATACAACATATACAATACAAGGTTTCAATTTCCAGACTCAAGTTTACTCCTAAGATGACATAAATCCCGAAAATTTATTATTTAAATACTTTTAA